GACTTTCCAGGTTATGAATCAATACGTTCCCATCCTTTCTCTTAAGCCACTTTTAGTTGTTTTTGTGACATAAAGAATCCCTTATAATACAAAAAAATTGAGAACATACTGTTTTAAACCTATGATTTCCCTTAACATATCATTATCGTATTTTCCTATTATTATTCTTAAGCACAATTTTATGTCTGATGTTATAATTTCTCCTACCAAGGCCATATTAGTGGGCAGATAAGTTGTTATCAATTTTACAATACTATAAATAAGGATGAGATGAATATCTTCATAGACAGATTTCTTAATATTTTGTGTGAGATATTAAGGCTTTTGCCACATACAGTAAAAGTGAAAGGCGATGCCAATTGAGTCCCATATCAGAAACACAGAAGGCCTATTCCTTCTACCACTGCTTGCAATGGCTAGTATCTTTCTTAAAATCTTTGCCAAGTTCATCACATACACAAAAAAATGTGTTTCATTTTACTTTGTATTTCTTTACTGAGTTGTCTACTATGCATAGATTTTTCAGTATTGTGCTAGATTCTGTTTGTTAACATTTTATTTAGGAATCCTGTATATTCTGAAGTTGGTTCTTCTGGTAATCCTATTTTCTCAGGTTTGTTAGGTGTTATTCTAACTTTGCAAAATAGACTAAGAAACGTAGAGGTTTGAAGATGGACAATTCTGAGTTTGAGTTCCATGATTAGATGGTCAATTTAATCTTCCTAAACCTAAAGAGGGCTACCCATTGGGAAGGGAGCCAATTAAACCCCACAGAATCTGGAAAGGGTCAGCCTTTGGAGCATCACGAGATCATAAAAGCTGGTGGGTGAGACATGAGGCCAACATGAGGGGGTGCTTGTAAGACCACCAAGTCCCTTCCTATCCCACACACACAGGCTACCATCCTTCCCACTGCAAGGCGAGAGGCTTACTTTTTGAAGAAGTGAGATGCTCTGGGCTTGGGGTGACCAGGTAGGGTAGAGGGAAGAGGGTGAGATAAGGGACTTGAAGGGGTTCAGGACAAGTTTCCCCAAAATGTGCCACTTTGGCATGTGGACTATTTTGAGCTGAAGCCAGTGGAGACCCTGGGGGCTCAAGAGAAACTTTAGTACCTCCCTTAACTACCTAGAAGAATCTAAACTGGGGGTCTTTCCCAGAATAAGAGTTATGACCAGAGGTAACTTCTATCTGAATGACCCATCCAATGGCAGAGTAGATACCTAATTACCAAGCAGCTACTCTTCCTCTTACTGCACCCCACATTGCTTTCCTCTTCATTGAACCCCAGGCCCCTATCCCAATCCTTAGCTCAGGCTGACATACATCTTTGCCCGTTTTATATATCTTTGCACCTCTCATATATGTGGGGTTCCCATATGTAGGAAATTAAATTTGATTTTCTCCTGTTAATCTGTCTTATCTCAATTTAATTCTTACACCAGCTGGAAGAATCTTTGAAGGATATAGGAAAAGTTTTCCTCCCAACAGCCTGAGAACAGGGAGATCAAGTGACACTTCACACGGAATGATAGGGACCCCAGTCTTTCCCCAACCTGCTCGTATCTGCAAGTAGCTCACACTTCCACAGCAGGAGACAGGGCACTTCTTGTCTGCAGAATTAAACTATTCCAGAGAAAAGGCCTCCTTGTTCTAATTAACATTTGGAGGTGTAACCCAAAGACAGAGCCCTTTCACGTTCCAGTTTCCCTGTGAGAGCCCAACACATCTGGAAACCTCGCCTACATATTCAGAGTTTCCAGTCAGCTTCGTAAGGCCCCCCCACTTGCATGAAGAGATAGCCAAGGAACACAAAACATTTGAAAGAACCACTAAAATGAAAGAGAACAAAACAACAAAAACAAATAAAAGGATGTTATTCTTTAATTATAATATTTTTATTACATATTATATACAATTATGTAGCATACATTCAGTAAAATTTTTATCATTACTTATTCTTTTATTTTAACCTCATCATAATTTATATTATTACACTATAACACAACAAAAAAGAAAGACAGGAGTACACTGAAATGATTGGAGGAGGAGGGGACTGCAGAATGAGCTCATTAAGATGCCTTTCTTGACAGAGGTGAGCACTTGTGTCCTTCTTCTGATGTTTCCTTGATGAGAAGGAAGCTTAATTCCGGCAAGGATCCAGGTCTCAGGGGTGATGGAATGCCATTACCTCATTGGTAATTATGGGAAGAATAAATTGGGAATGCCCAACTTGACTTCTCCATTTATTTTCTTCCTGAGATCCAGCATGCCTACGGAGACCACGAGGGCTCAGTCACTGCTCTCCAAGCTTCCAGTAGTACAGAGAGGGGTAAGGGAGTGTGCTCTCACTGCTTTGGGTTCACTGCATAACAAGTTAACTCAAAACATAAATCCTTCGAACATACACTTTCTGTTGCTCACAGATGCTGTGGGTCTGGAATTCAGGTGGGGACACAGCAGAAAAGGCCTGTCTCTGCTCCATGACCTCTGGGACCTCAGGTAGGAAGGCTCCCCAGCCGGAGGACCCCACTGCCAGAGGCGGGACTCACACGATGGCGCCTCAGCTCCCCTGTCTGGCACTCGACGATAGCCGTCTGCTGAGACCTTGGCTGGAGTTACTGGCAGTAGCACCTCCACACGGCCTCTCCCTGCAGCCTGGGCTCACACTGCTTACCCTGCAGCTCAGGGCTCCAGAAACAAGTGTTCAGCAAAAGGGGAAGCTGCAGCCCTTTTCCGACCTGGCCTCAGAACTCACACATCATCTCCATCCCACTCTACTGGCTGCACGTGGAGTTACAAACCCTCCCAGGTTCAGGTGAGCGGGAGACACAAGCTCCATCTTTTTTTTTTTTTTTTAATGTTTATTCATTTTTAAGAGAGAAAGAGCGTGAGCAGGGGAGGGGCAGAGAGAGAGGAGCCACAGAATCTGAAACAGGCTCCAGGCTCTAAGCTGTCAGCATAGAGCCCAATGCGGCGCTCGAACTCACACACCCTGAAATCATGACCTGAGCCGAAATCAGCCGCTTAACTGAGCCACCCAGGCATCCCAAGCCCCACCTTTCAATGGACTGAGGGTCAAAGGATTTGTGGACACTGTTCTGAAACCACCCCATGGCCCAATCTTAAAGCCCCTACGATCTGATGCGAGGGACGAGACATTGAGGAATAAAGGAGTAAAACCGCAGTCAGGCTGCTCCGAGCTGTGCCTCCAGGCCACCGCGGGCTGCAGTGGAAGGGAACTCAACCATCTCCCAAGGCAAAGAACAAAGGAGGGAATGGGGGGCAGACTCTCCCAGCACCCCTCCCCCATCCTTCTGATACTCTCTCCTGGGCCCCCGAAGAGGTAGTCCCACAGCCAACCCGAACCCCAGTTTCTTCTAGGACTCTGCCAAAACCAAGGAACCCTCTTTTCCTGAGCTGGACCTGCTTCGGGACACAAAGGGACAGACACAAGTCAAGGCTCCTTTCTCTAATATTGTTGCCTTCATTATCAAGCCAAATCGGAGCCAAGAGATATTCAAACGATACCCCACGTGTGTTTTGACTTTCTCCAACTAGGATACGTCTTTTGTTTTTCAACCTTCAGGTACTTTGTATTTTCCACTTTCTTGAAGATTGTCCTTGGGCTCGGGAGGAGCGAGCACATCCAAGGGACAGGAATGGCAGATAGTGGTGATGCCACCAGACTCCATGTGTGAACATCTATTCATAACCGTTCTCTCATTGGAGACACTGTGGGGCAGGTTCAAGTGCAGCTCCATCTTATTCCTGAATAACGACAATAAAGTAGGAGTAAGCACAGCCACACAGGACTTCTAGTCAGATAGAGAGTTCCAGTAGGAATCCTGCACACAGAGACGGTCCTCCGTGGCTGCCACGGTTATTTTCTGCAAGGAGGGCGGGGCTTGGTGGTTACTGGTTCACTATGTACAGTTATCACCTCCATCTTTATCTCCAGGAGGGAAAAAAGAATTTTATGACTAACGTCAGGCAGCCTTCAGGCTAACAAACAAGGAACTTCATGAAGAAGTGTTCCCAGAGAGTCGTGAGGTAGGATTATTTTGAGTCCTGGTAACAGAAACCCACGGAAGCCACCGTACATTTGCGAGGGGAAGCTTAGTGTCAGCGGCCTGGCATCTGTCCTGGAGCCCGAGGGCAGAGGTACAGCTGAGCCTCCACAACAGGCTCCAAAGAGGCTGGGACACAGGAAGTTCTGTCCCCGCATCAGGCTGAGCTGTCGTCTCTCAGCCTTCCTTCCAAATTCCCAGGAAAGACTGGCCAAACCCAGGTCAGGTGTTATCTCTGGAGCAATCAAGTGCACCCAGGAACAGGGTGTGAACCCGGCTCTTCTCCTGGTCCACCCATGGGCGGACAGGGGGAGATTCCCAGAAACCTGGGGAGGGGAACAAAACAGTAGATGACCGATTCCTTTGTGACTCAGTCCCCAAGTCTCACAAAAATAAAACTTAGTGAAGAAAAAATAAAACCAGTAGAGGAATGGGCAGACTCCTTGATTTGGCCACATATTCCGGACCCCCCCCCCACCCCCGGGTGGATGACACTGGGCCATGTCCTAGAAGCACCAAGCATCCTTACCGTTTCTCTATCTAGCAACCGCGCGCACAGCGCCCCCGGGATTCTGTCTGAGGTCGTCTTCTCCAAACGCAACCACCTTGCCGAGGCCGGTCCTTCCCCAAGCCTTCCGACCCATCTGTGTGGGCAGCGGGCCCTCACCTAGCAGCACATAGGCACTGGGGGCCACCACCTGGGAATCCCTCCTTTAGAACGGATCTGGCCACAAGAATCCTGATGGTTCAGATCGAATGGCTCTGAAGCCAAATGAGGGGCGCCTGCGCGGCTCAGTCGGTTGAGCATCCGACTTTGGCTCAGGTCGTGATCTCACGGCTCGTGAGTTCAAGCCCCACATGGGGCTCTGTGCTGACAGCTCGGAGCCTGGAGCCTGCTTTGGTTTCTGTGTCTCCCTCTCTCTCTGCCCGTCTCCCACTCATACTCTGTCTCTCTCTTAAAAATAAAAAAACATTAAAATATTTAGAGCAGTAAATGGCCCAGATGCAGGTTGTGGTGGGCAAAGGAGGTCCAGTGGGGCTCCTGCTGCAGGAGCAGTTCAACTGGGGCAAAGGCCGCGGGGTGCAGAGAAGACGGAGGACTCGGGAGACCTTCAACAGAGCAAGGCTTGGCCAAGGCACGAGGCAAGAGTGACTTCCGGATTCTGGCTTGCACACCCGAGCGTCCGACGGATGGGATCCACAGAGTCGGACGCTGGAACAGGACGGGGTCTGGGGAGGAAGATCATGAGCTCAGGATGGACGTGGTAGGGGGAGGTGCTTCTTAATCCTGGAGTGGATCCGCAGCAGGCAGTGTATGCAGGCGTCCTCACGGGAGAGGCTGGGCTGCAGGTATACGTGTGACCTCCCCCCTGCCCCCCACCCCCGCCCGCCCGGCACTCGTGTCACAGCCTCCTGACTGTGCCTTACTCCCGCCAAGCTCCATGGCTTCCTCCAGTTGGCTGACCCAGCCACCGGAGGGAATGTTCCTTTCATTAATTTCCTGATGAAATTTTCCAGCAGGGCTCCCATACCATGTTCCCCTGGCTACATCAGACTAGACACAACAGAGGGTCAGGTGGTACATAACCTGTCAATGGCATCAATGGGCAGGACTCGGTGGCATACAGTCCTGAAATCTCTATTTTTAACTCTCCACTGTCCTTAAACCTGTGTGAGACCTCCCTTCCATACGTCTGGACTATATTACAACCTGCAGCTTTCTTATACATTTTTACTGAAATTGAAGATGCTTATAGAAAAGTATAAGCTACATGCATGTGCTCAGTGAATTTGCACAAACGGAAGAGATCTGCATAAGTAGCATCGAAGGTCCTATAACTTCCTGTGTCACTTTGGCTGTTAGAACAAGGATAATCGTAGATATTAAAAGGTCTAGTCTAGGGGCACCTGGGTGGCTCGGTCGATTTATCGTCTGACTTCGGCTCAGGTCGGATTTCACGGTTCGTGAGTTCAAGCCCCACAGTAGGCTCTCTGCTGTCAGCGAGAAGCTCACTTCGCATCCTCTGTCCTCCTCTCTCTCTCTGCCCGCCCCTCACTCACACTCTCTCTCTCTCAAAAATAAATACAACATTAAAAAAAAAGATCAAGTGTAATTTACGATCGAATGCCCATTTTTTCATCCAATTCAAAGCTCTTTCCCTTTTCCCCACCTGAGCCCCGACTTAGACTCAGAAACTCGGCAAAAGGAAAAGTGCAGGGAGCAGCCCGTATCTTTAGCCAGTCTCTCCCAGGGCTCCCCCCTCAAACCCTCTCCCCAGAATCGGATGAGCCAGAGGATGACAGGGAAAGGAGCAAGGGTCAGGCCGGCGCTGCTCTGCATGGCCCCCAATCTCCAGATAGCAGAGCTCGAGGTGCCCCAGAAGCTTCCGCCGTGCTCCCCCACACCCTGCCATCAGCCCAGGGCAGGCTTATTTCTGCTTCTCAGGCAGAGTGCGGCTGGGCAGAGGAGGAGAGCCTGGCCCCTCCTTCCGGAGAAGCACCCTGGTCTTTACAAATGATTTTTTCCATACCGCCTACACTTAGCTACACAGGGCCACCAACTCTGCAAAGAAATGACTGCACAGTCTCTTCCTGGTTGATCCTTTCCTTCTGCTCAAGGTATATCAGAATAGAATAACTAAAATTCATACATGCAAAAGAAATGACAGAACTAGAAAATCCCCACTTTGTAGTCCCTAATGAAGTTCCAGCTCCTGGTGGCCATGAACTGCTAGGAAAGTCACCAGGTGAGGGGCTGCCGGGCACGCTCCACAGAGGGGATCCAGCCAATACGTGAACCCAGTGGTGAATTTCAGCACCACTAGGAGCGATTCCACCAAAAACTACATTCCTTCTGATGTCATGCGATAGGAAACCACAGCACTACCTGTAAGTATTATCAAAAGAGAAACAAAGAAAATAGGGCGGCATCTGGTCCAACCTCTAGATCTTGTACCAGCTTACAGAAAGCAGGGGAAAGAGAGAAGCATGATGAATCACATTGTGAGAAAGCTGTCTGTCAAATCCAGCAGGTGGGAAACTCTACAGAGCAAGTGACTCAATTTGCCAACAAATATAATGGCACGAAAGGTGTGACTTAAAGGGGACAGCGCCACAGAGGTTTTGGTGGGGTGGGGGTGAGTAAATTGTTCTGTGTCTGGATTGTGGGAGGAGTCACATGAATCTACACAAAGGTCAACATAGAATTGCAGGGGCGCTTGGGTGGCTCAGTCAGTTGAGTGTCTGACTCTTGATTTCGGCTCAGATCATGATCCCAGGGCCGTGGGTTCAAGCCCCATGTCAGGCTCTGCACTGACAGAGTGGAGCCTGCTTGGGATTCTCTCTCTCCCTCAATCTCTGCCCCTCCCCTGCACGAACTCTCTCTAAATACATAAATAGTTCAAAAAATGATTTAAAAAAATAGAATTGTACACCAAAAAGTGAGTTTTACCATATCATAATTTTAAAATACAAAACTTTCCAGGGGCATGAAAGGTTGCAAGGGTCTATGGAGAGTGGCTTAGAGGTGAGTAGGAGAGTCGGGTCAACCAAATGCAATGGCGGCCCCTGTCTGAACCTAGATTCAAAAAAACCAGCCTTTAAAAAGGCATTTTTAAAACACTGGGGAAAATGTGACTGCACACGGACTATTAGAGGTGAGGTGATCAGTTTATCTCATATCAGCTATCAGATGCTATTATGTGGCACGAGGTGATGAATGATACGGTGAAAACAATATGGCGGCTGTTGACTACAGTCATCAATAAGAGAGACACAGGAACATGTTTAAAGGTGAAATTATATGGTGTCTGGGATGTGCCTCAAAATACTCAGGAAACAAATACATATACTATAGTCAATAGGTAGTGGATGGCAGAACGAGAGTGGGGTTTTGTCTCAGTTCTCTCTGTGCCCTCGATGTCTGGGAATCCACACAGCGGCTACTCAGCCAACATCAGGGGAATGGAAGAACAGCCCAGTTGATGTGGTTACTCTCGTCACTGCCTGTCGCCCACACTGCCACCACACATACCTTTACTGGCCCTTGTACTCCTTAGCTCTTCTGTCACCCTTGCCCCGTCTGGTCTAAACAGACCTACCACTGCTTGTGGGTCAACCCAAGTCTAAAGTCATGTGCAGACAGAAGAAAAAAAGACAATCCTCATTGTCTTCACCGGTACCAACTCCTCCCAAAGTTCAATGAGCAGGTTCAACACGAGTTTTGCCTTTTCTTGTATGGTTTTCACGACACATATAAGCCCATGGTAATGTGGCCCCTGCCCTCCCTTCCAATGGCACCCCCACAGCACCCTCTGATCATCTGCTCCCATGAAGTCTAGACTCCAGCCCCACAGACCATTTACTGTTTATCACAAGCCCATGACATCATCAGTCCTCTGCCTTTGAATTTGGACTTCCCTCTGCCAAGGATGCTCCTTTCTCCTCACATAGCTGGCGAATTACGTTCATTCTTCAAAAGTCAACCCAAATATACAGTCTCCCCTCTGGAGACTTCCCTGACTCCTCCGTCTCTGTGTTTCTAGACCCCAGTTAGAATTCTTATGCATTTTATTTTCATGACCACTACACGGCTGCTCCCAGCAGACACGGGAAGTAAAAACAACAGTATCATCTGACACTAATCCACTGCCTACTAGCCACTATTTACTCATTTCACATACGTTGACTTTTAGTCCCGCCCCCAAATCAGTGTGTAGGCACTATTATTTTTGCAGTTTTACAAGGGAAGAAAGTGAAGCACAAAGGAGATGAAATAAGTTTCCTAAAGTCACATATCTAGTAATGGTGGGGCAAACGTAGGTGGTCTGGCTCTGCACCTTTTTTTTTAACTGTCCCAAAACCGCTCTTTTTTGTTTAATGTTTATTTTTGAGAGGTGGGAGAAGAGGGAGAGAGAGAGAGAGAGAGAGAGAATGAATAGGGGAGGGTCAGAGAGAGAGGGAGACCCAGAATCTGAAGCAGGCTCCAGGCTCTGAGCTGTCAGCACGGAGCCCAATGAGGGGGTCGAACCCACGAACCATGAGATCATGAGCTGAGCTGAAGGCCGACTGAGCCGTGGGGCGCCCCTGAACCTATAATACTTTTATACAAAAACCTAAGAAAATTTTTAAACTTTGGTTTGGGTGAAGTTTTCATAGGACAAAAAAGTATCAGGTACCAAAAGAAAAAAGAATTGATGAACCAGACTTCATCAAAATTAAAACTTGCTCTCTTCAAAAGCCCCTGTGAAGACCATGAAAAGCCAAGCCGCAGACTGGGAGCAAATATTTGTAAGGCACATATCTAATAAAAGAATTGTGTCCAGAATATAAAGAACTTTTACAAGTCCATAATAAGAAGACAAACAACTCAATAAAATGGGCTGAAGATTTTAACAGACTTATTTCCAAAGAAGATCCGTGAGTGGCAGACAAGCACATGAAAAGATGTTCATCATCATCAGTCACCAGGGGATGTGAATTAAAACCAGAATGCCCCAAATTTAAAAGACTGTCAGTACCAAATGTCAGTGCGGATGGAGAGCGACAGAAGGATCGTGAGTGGGAAAGTAAAATGGTACAGCTACTCTGGAAAACAGTTTGTCAGTTTATTGTAAAGCTGAATGTACAATTACTATATGACTCGGCAATTCTGCCGCAAAGTGTTTATCCCGACAAATGAAAACATATGTCCACACAAAGACTGGGCGATGTACGTTAACAGAAGCAGTAAATCATGTTCAAAGCAGCAGTGTCCATAAAGCCAAGAACTGGACACAATCCAAGTTGCTTCAACAGGTAATTAGATAAACAGACCATGGTATTTGTATACAATGGAATATTACTCAGCAAAAAATAAAGGAATGAACTGAGGATGAAATAGATACACATCTTTCTGTACTTCCCACCAAGTACAGCTAAAAACCATGAACATAGAAAACAAACATAAGAAGGGGCGCCTGGGTGGCTGAGTCGGTTAAGCATCTGACTTCGGCTCAGGTCATGATCTCATGGTTTGTGGGTTCAAGCCCCGCATCGGGCTCTGTGCTGACAGCCAGCTCAGAGCCTGGAGCCTGTTTCAGATTCTGTGTCTCCCTCTCTCTCTGCCCCTCCCCTGCTCATGCTGTCTCTCTCGCTCTCTCTCAGAAATAAATAAAACATTTTTATAAAATAAAAATAAGAAAACAAACATAAGAAGACTGTAAAAGGTATAGGTAAGAAGACAGACTGGC